CCTCTGTATAGTCCCTCGATGATCTACGTTGTACAGTTAGTATATACCGTTTGTCCTTGAATTTCACAGTGTACTTGTTTTTTTCATTCCAATAAATGGCGTCTTCATGTGCTTCAAAAGTAAAGTACTATAATTTGTTCAACCTTTCATGGAATTTATTTATTTTGTGGATGTGTAGTTAGCTGGATGTCAATTCTATGATCACTATACTGCCAAAATACAACTATATATATTTAATAGCTTGATGCCAATTCTATAATCACTATACAGCCAAAATACAACTATATATATTTAATAGGTCGAACCATTACTTTTTAAGTATGTAAACAAAAACTTGAATAACTTTAAGCGTCTATCGATGTATTTAACTAATAACAAGCTTCTAATTCTCTTATGAATTTTCAACAGACAATTACATGAATAGTCTTCTTTAAAATGCTTTCCTTTCTTGATTTCACATAGAAGAATTAGAGGCCCCACCACAACTCCTCCAAAATAACATTCACAATATCATCAGTAAGTGGCTCCACATTTTCCACTGGTTCTACATCTTGCACATGACCTCCCTAAAACCAAAAAAATGGAAGTAAGATAGAATGATTATTTGAGAAATTAACTCGATCTTAGTATCAGAGCGTGATATTAAGTTTAAGTTTGTGCATTGATAATGCTAACTAATATCATGTTAAGTAATGATAAGAAAATTATTTTAACAACATAATATAAATAATTGTAGTAATAGTATATATATAACTAACTAAAACCTTATGTAGATGTCAGAAAGAGATCCCCTATTTAATGAGATTAACGTGATCTTTTGCTTCAAAGGTCAATATAATTCATAATTGCTTAACATAATCATGTAAATAAATAAATTAGATTATAGTTTGCTTTCTTTAAATCATTTAAATGAGATGACACACAAATTACACTCTAATAATAATATTAAACCAAACAAAATTCTTCTCACTACCATACCACTTGTTAATTAATCCATAAAAAAGAACCACCCACACGAGGGCATATTAAATACATTCATAAGTAAAGATTTAAGTTTATAGACGAGATGATCAGAGGAGAGAAATAAAGATTATACCAAACACAAGTCGATAAAAGCAGCTACTATGAAATGCTGATTCTTCATATTATTAATCTTCAAGAACCAAGTAAGCAACTCCTCCATAAATTCCCAATCCACCATATCTCCCCTTTGTGCACCATAAACTTTAGTCATTTGCTCCATTGAATGCAAAAAATCCATTTTAGGATTCTCAGTTTCCACAGCTAAGAGTAAACAATCTTTGAAAGGGAAACCAACCATGGATAGAACTGAACAAGACTCGTTTTCTTCGAACGATAACCTCCTTGTTGCCAATGCTTGTTTTGCCATCTCCAATGCTTCATCTGGACAACAACTTTCTGGGAATGGACCAAACATGTTATCTACTAAACATTGATCATATTTTCTAGTCATTTTTCTCTTCTTATTCTTTTTCAAGAAGGAGAAACGTTTCCATAAGGTAAAGTACTTCATTCTTTTTTTTTACTAAGTACTCAACTTGTTACATTTCTTCTTTTAAATTAAAGGGCACTAGCTATTTTAGTTACACATTCATTTATAATACTGCACCAACTCTTACATAAATGAAATAAATACTATATAATATATAACTAAAGAGTGTGTAACGTATTAAAATGTTTTTCAAATTTTGTGATCTCAAACTTTATATGTGAAATACTGTTAAAATTATAGAATTATCAAATATAAAAATTATTCTTTTTTAAGTATGAATAAAATAAAAGAAGACATGGAGTACTACAAATTAATTTATTCACTTTTTAAGAAAGAACAAATGAAAAAGAAAGTCTTCGATCTTTTTAATTATAAGCTTCCCGTTATGTGAGAATCCACTATTACAAACTAATTATAGCTAATTACAACCATAAATAAATTAACGACACTGTATGACTTCTCTAATAGTAAAATTTCTATTAAACGATGCATTATTATATATTATTGGGATAATGCACAAGTACTCGTCAACCAATGTCCGAAATCTTAGACACACACTTATATTATACTAAAGTTCTATTACCCCTGAACTTAGTTTACTAATAATTTTTTAATCCTTTTCGATCTACGTGACATTATTTATGTAGGTCCAACGCTGGTTGATTTTTTTTAAGTTAGTGTCACGTAGACCGAAAAAGGATAGAAAATTACTTATAAAATAAGTTCAGAGATAATAAAACCTTAGTATAGTACGTCTGACATAAATTGAAGAATACTCGTACATTTTCCCTATATTATTTTATCCAATTATCAGACATTTCTATTATTTCGTAGTCAATTTCCTCTTGCCTGTACTTGTCCCTAATAAAATGATAAATTTGTTATTAAAAAAAATTAGTCAATTCCTAATTGGTATTTGAGGTTTTGCTATTACTCGTATTAATTAAGCGTGAATGTAGGTGAGGGAAGGTACTGATTATCTCAAATATTTTATTGTTTTCTGGTAAGACTGTTAAACGTAAATAATATTATAAATGGTGAACAGTTGTAAATATTAAAGTAAGTCTTTAAATACCACAAAGAAAGTCCTGCTAGTAAAATTTGTAGAGTGTTAATTTGTCTTCAATATGATTTTTAAAAGTATTTTACATCCGTAAAAGTTTTGGAGCCAATACTTTCTCTTTCTCGACATGATAATTGATAGTATATTTTATTTAAATCGAAGATCTATAAAAAATAAAGTAATATTTTTATTTATTTTTAAAATAAACTCTACGATATATCATTCTTTTCACACTATATTTTACATTGATATGTTATTGCTGATGATTCAGGTAAATGCCAATTTTCGATTTAGAGACAATGTCATAATTAAAAAAATTATTAACGGGGTCTTGTATAATATTTTAGCGTGGATAAGTGGTTGGAGATATAAAACATCAGTTGAATGCTTTTTATTACTTTTCTTATATCTATCTAATAAATAATAGCTAACACAAACAACTAGCTAGCTAGGTCTAATTAACTAGGTCCATGTTTGACTATAACTACACATATAATTGGATTGATTTATATATGTAGCTAGCCTATATACTGATCATTTGAATTAATTTGTTTCTCATATATAATTAAAATTAGTATTAATTAATCAAATGAAAGGTTTAAGAGATAAATATAGTAGCTTAGATGGTATTTTTATGATTACTATATAATTACTCAAAATGGATAATATGGACCAAAATAGTACTAAAAGCTTAAATATGTTAGCAGCTTTTAGAAAACAACTCATTTATGTTGGCCGTTAAAAATTTGATTTACCTACATCATTGTTGTTAAGAAAAAATCTCATTCATGATATTTTTTTAACTTCGATTTTGTAAAATTATTTTTTACGCTCCAAATAATAACATTTTTCAATTGAAGTTTTTGAATCAAATGTACACTTTTTGCTTCTTTTTCTTTAAGAACACATGAAGAATATAAATAACTCCCATATTTTCAACTTTTTCAATTCTTCACGAAATCATCTCCAATTTCGGCTACATCATTAATTTCTTTTTTTTTTAAAAAAAAAAATAATTCTAAAATCATTTGTAGAGCTTAAAAATTTACTCATATTTTAAAAAAATTCCGTAAAACAAAAATCAGTCCCAAAATTTCAAAATTTTGCTTTGATTCATCTTTTTTAGTTGTTTTTTTACAATAGATCTTTGTTTCATATTGTTATTTTAGTTTACTTTCAAAGTTTTCAAATGATTTGAAGTTTTGGAGAAAGTTCTACTATTAAAAAATATTAAAATTTTGAAACTTTGAAGATATTTTAAGTGAGTCTAATTTAGTTAGATTGAATTTGAGTTTGAAAGATATTGAGTTTTGATATCTAGGTATGGAAATAGTTACTTATACAAAGCTTAACAACGAATTATTCAGTGATATTAGATTTAATTCATTAAATTAAATTGGGACATTAAATAGGTGCCAAAACATTTGATAAAAAAGAGCCAGATTGGCTTTTAGCTTACCACAGGACTTTCATCATACCAGGTTTTTTTAAAAATCTCCATCCTCTTAGCTTTGTTTGGACATAGATTTTGAGAATAAATATTTACTCCCTTTGTCTCTTTTTATATGATTTTTTTGTGTTTTGAAATATAAATAAGTCTATTTTGGATTGTAAATATTTTATAAATTTGTTTAACATTTTGAATTATCAATTATTGTGACTTATAGTATTCTTTACGTAGTTTACAAATATATAAGTTTCATTTAAAAAAATTAAAGATTTCATACGCAAATTTCTGAAAAATTAAACTGTTTGACTCTCGGAAAATAAAAATGTCATATAAAATGAGACAGAGTAAAATAAAAGGTTTGATCATCATATTGGCCAATTGGTGAAAATCTATCTCTAAATCTTTTTCAAGTTTCACTCATAAATTTTCATTTCTGCGAGTAAAAATACATGTATAGATACAACTTTAACTTCTAAAAATTATATATTCCAATAAATTTTTAAAAATATATATATTTTTGAAAATTTCAATTAAATCTATGATGACACAAACTTGATTTTTCATTTTGTGAAAATTAAGGAAATACAGATTCATCCAAAGTCACGGAAATAAAAACTTGGAGCTTTCATCGATCGACTATTCAATTTAAATTGGATATTATTATTACTCCACGTACATGGAGTCGACACTTTCTTAGGTAATTTGGGTTTTGAATTTGTATTGAGTCTATACATGTTACTTTGCTGTTTCGGTCTTGCAACATTTTATTTTAATAAAATAATAATAAGAAAAAGTGGACGATATAAAATTTTATTTTTGAATTATTGACAGGTTACAACATCAAAATGTATTTACGTCTAGAGTCAAGTAAATAGGTATTCAAGGTTGTCAATAGTTTCAAAGATTAAATTAATAATTTAATAATTATTTTGAACCAAATAAATTAAAATTAGAATTGAGAATCGGTGAGTTTGTAATTAGCTTGAAAATATGAGTATTTCCTCTTCTATTAGCTATTATTAAAATTAAAAGTCATGAAAAACAATATTTTCAGCTTAAAAGAATAAATGAAATAGCTTTTATTTACTAATAATTAATTAACTTCTAATCCATACAAGACGCCAGCATGTCTTTCTGCTCCGTTATTCACAAAATAAATATCCCTCATTTTCTGAAACGCATGCCACGTCAGCAAGCTATCTGAACCGGCCTGGTGACATTTTCCGACCGCCCGGTCCACGGACAATGTCTTCGCAAGCCGGTCTAAACCACCATAAAGGCTATTACAGAATCTCATCAAATGCTTCATATCATAAACTTTATTTCCAAAAAACACCCTCACGACTTCCATAAACTCCTCTAATCCACCGGGGAGTTCCCGGCGCGTGAGTATCTTCACCAGGTAACCGAAATCATACGCGCTGTGAAACGTAACCCAACTCACCGATTCATTACAAACCAAACCGGACGACATCATCAGTTCAGTGAACCGGGCTGAGTTGATCCCGCATTCCCGGTTCATTTCAAAGTCGATCCCCTGTCGGCGGAGTAACTCGATGGAATCCGGAGCGTAGAGATCACGCTCCACATCGAAATCGGAGAAATTGAACTGCCATATGTAGCCGCCTCCGTCAGATCCTAAACCAGGTAGGTTACCTTCCGCGTCAGATAAAGTTAACCCAAGCTGTATGAGATTCAACACATCCACGTTAGACTTCAAGAGCTTATACTGATCGGATGGGGGATTGTAGGAAACGTTAGGCTTGAAAACAACCCCAGGAAACTCAGTATCCATAGATATGTAAGGGTAGTTATCAATCACAGTTGAAATAAGTTGAAATTCTGGTTCGAGATTATGAGCCCATACTTGTCGAATTTTAATAGCCATTATGGGTATTGAAAGTATGAAAGAAGGAAACTGAATTGTTTGTTGGTGAGTGTGAGGGTATTTTATTTTTATTTTATAGAAATAGAAAGAAGAGAGAGGCAAGTGGTGGGGGGAGTTGAGTGGTTTTGCAGAGTGAAAAGGGAAGGAGAAAGGAAAGAGAATGGAATGCGTGGGTACACAGAAATAGGGCAAGTTTTTAGTCCACGTTCAACGCGTTTGAGTTGTTTCATTTGACTCATAAACAAATTAGAGTGATGATTATACATAATCTATTTCATTATAAAGTCGGTCTCGTTTTTTATGTTTTTTTTTAAATACACTTAAATATATTCTCATTACTAATCCCTTCAGTTAAATATATTAACAGAATTTCTTTCTCTCATTCCAAGTTGTAAAGTAATACGGGTTTGTCATTTCATAAAATTATGCTACTATTTTTTTATTTTATCGCTTGAAAGTATAAATTATTCAATATAATAAAATTAAGTAATTTTAGTTTATTTTTATCTATTAAATTAGTTAATCAAAGTAAAATTCAAAATGTTGACAACTGCATAAAAAAAAAAGGGAGAGAACTTTTTCAAAAAAATACTTCTACTTCATTTTCAAATAAGGAATAAAATTGAAAGAATTTTTTAAAAATAGTCTTGAATACTGAATAATTAAGTTAATTTAAAAATACAAAATGCTTTAAAAATTTAATTGATATGAAATGGTGAGAGTAAAATTTTCTGACAATCTTTTTAAAAGGAGCTGTCAAATTAACAAAGGATAGGTACAATTAGACAGAAAATATAATATTTTATTAAAAAAGACAAAAGTTTTATATCGACAATTAGTGAGATGAATGTACTCCTTATAAGGCTTGAGAAATTTATTTCATTTGAACTAACTTTTGAAGTGTGAGTTAGACGTAAGACCTGACTCTTTTTAACATATTTAAAACCTTGTATTTGACATTGCTTTAGTTCACATACAAAATATTTTAACATATTTGAAACCTTGTAATTGACATTGGTCTAGTTCACATACAAAATATTTTACTCATGAATTATTTGAAATAAAAATAATTATCTTTCGTCAACATTATCTCCACAAATGTCATTTTTATATTAAGTAACGAAAATTACGTCATCTTTGCTTAAAAACCAATCAATTCTTGACTATTCTTTATCATCCAATTATTAACACATTTAAAATATATTATTTGACAAAATGTTAACAGAAAATACAATGAATATGAAAATGCTGGAAGTGAGCTAAGCAAATGAACTAATTTTGTTTTTTCTTCTATTTTGGGGTTTCTGAATCTGTGGATTTTGGTAGTTTCAGAATTGTGACATCTGCTTGGCGGTGCACGTGTAAATAACTAAATTAATCATCACATGATTGACAAATTAAAATAACGTAAACTTGTTTAATTTTAAATATCAACAAAATAATTTATTATTTTATATTCATTCTTAATTACATAATTCGATAAAAAAGAAAAAAAGACATATTTTTTTTTGCAGTAAAGAAAGATATAAAATTATTGAATGTTAATTAGCTTTTTTCTTCGTTTAAACAAAACGTACCGTCAAAAGCAATTAAAATGTAATTATCAGCAATTTGTGGAGATTTCTTTCACATTTTTAATTTTTACGAATTCAATATTTTATAATATGTAAATAATAAGATAGTGGGGGGTTTAATCATTGATTTAATTTTATAAAATCTTATTTAATTAAAAACGTGACAAAGGAGGACATTCAGCATTTTCGTGCCAGTCAAATATATATTGATGCAGTGGCCTCCTTAGAATACTCTTTCTATGGCATCTCTTTAATTATTATTATTATATACCAGTAGAAATAAAACTAGTGGTGCTACACTAACTAATATTCTAAAAGTAAAGTAGTTTGACAATTTTTGAAAAATAAAAATAATTTTTAAATTTTGTGATCATAAATTAATATATATTGAATGTATTAAAATATTTTTTAATTTTAATATTTTAAATATGTCGCGTCAGAAAAAATTGAAATAAAATATTATTTATCAAATTAAAGATATTTTTTTAAAAAATACTTTTAAAAGGAAATAAAATAGAATAGGGAAAAGACTCAAATATGCTATTCAATTTTCAGAATAGACTCATTTATGTCATCAGTTAAAAGTTTGACTCATTTATGTCATTATCGTTAAAAAAAACTCATTTATGTCATTATTTTTTAACGATGATTTTGCAAAACCATTTTTTAGACGTGATTAATTATAATTCGGTCTAGTTATTAATTTATTTAATTACAAAAATAAAAAAATAATTCTTTTTTCAGTGCAAAATATAAAAAATTAATTAGTATTACTTAAGTTGTACACTGTATTATTACCTTCCTCATTTGACCCTGCTTTTACATATATGTTGACTTGACTAGTCTCTTTAGACTTATTTTAGTCAACCACGTATACTCCTGTAGTGTAAAGACCGAGTAAAAACTATAGGTTATGATAATGTGGGACAATTATATTATCCATTTACATTATTGTATAGGTTCGATGGAGGGTATTGGGGGTCCCAATAAACATGATTTTCAAATCATGTATCATGTATGAATTGAATTTTTCCTCTTAATTGATAAACTTGTAAAAAAATGAAATAAATTTAACTTGCTATATATAAATTACTTATTAAATAACGACTCTAAAAAGCAAATATTTCAATTTTCAGCATCTTGCTCCTTAGTGGCTGCAATTTAGGCCCAAGATCCTTATTTTGATCTGCAGCCCATTTACTTCTCAATCTAGTTATGGGCCCAATGGTTAGGCTCAACATTTCTATTTGATCCAACATGTATATGGAGATTATACCATAATAAAACATTTAAAAGATTAAAATAACCTAGTTTTTAGATTTTTTTACTTATTTTAAAGATATGGTAAGATTATAAACTTTTATAAGTACATAGTGTATCTTACTTTTACATTTTTGTTTGAAAATAAAAAAAATCATAAAATCAATTGTATTTAGTGCAAAACTACCATCCATCCATTTTTGAGCCAAAAAGGTTGACGCGAACTTTGTACTGTGCACATTACTTAGACGGGTTCTAGAAAGGCATATAGAAAGGAATGGAGAAATCGAGAATAAAGAAATTTAATAAGAAAGAAAAGCCAAAGAAATGAGATAATATCGAATTATATTTCTTTGGATCTGAGTTGAATCTTGTCTATTTCAACCCCCCTAGATTCGGATTCTACTTTTAAGTCTTTCCACAATTAACTAATTTTACCTTTCTAATATGTATTACGTCTTTCTAATATGTATTACGTATTCAAATTCGTTTGAACAAGAGGAGAAAAAAAGAGGAGATAGAATCCAATTCTTTTAGATACTTTATCTAAGAAACTCTACCCATCTATGTTCTAGATGGGGTATATCTCGCTAAACTGGATAAAGCTATTATTCTAATCTAGACTATAAAAAAATATGTATGTGGATTCATATCAATTAATTAGAAATTCATTCTAGGGAAGAGAGACCCATAAAAATTAATCATGTGCCAAGAATCTGATTTGAACTGGTGACACGAGGATTTTCAGTCCTCTGCTCTACCAACTGAGCTATCACGGCTATTCTCAATCTCGATTGGAACTTATTTGGGAGCCAAAAGATGGATAAGGATAGTTCAGTATCAATTCAAATAGTTGAGGGATATTTTAAGCCCTTCTTTGAATAAATTATAATAATGAATTTTTTTGCTTACGCACCGATGATCGTATAATTCATAGAATATAGTGCACATAATTTGCATGCATTTAACATGATTAATTAATGACTTCGACTGTATAAGTATAGGAGTGACATACTAGGCAATTCGATCAATCGATTTATGTTTGATCTGACTATTGAGTCAATTCTTATTTGTTTAATTAGTTTAGTTTATAAAAAGTTACAGATGATATGCCATTCATATTGACTCATTAGAAAATATCGTCAAAATTATTATTTTTTATTTGATATAATTAAAATAAAGAAAAAAAAGAAGTTTATTTATTTAGTACTAGAAATTATAAAAGAACAAAAACGATGTGAACTTAGAAGCTTCCTAATGAAGTGATCATGATGTACATGTTCAATCATCATAAAATAATTTTGGTATTTGACCTTTCAAATAAATGTGATGAAAACGAAACTTAGAAGTAACGTGTTCGGTATAACTAACGATACCTTTAAATTCATCATAACTAACTTCTAATTTGCTAAAAGAAGGGTCACACTATAAACGAGAGTCACATATATTCAAGGGGTGTCGATCGATATCTAAATATAGCTAGATAATTTATTTTTTTTGTATGTTTATATATCAATTAATATTCTTTGATTTCTTTATATTCTAACACTCCTTAATTGAAATTTTGACTATATCACTGATTAATTATAAATGGTTTATGATGAGTAGGTAAAGGAATTTAGTACCACTTTAATTCCAAGCTTTAATGCAGTGGGTATCAACATTTACTTCAGCTAGTTTCTTATGGTCCTCTAATTAACATTTCTTTCATTCCGATTTTTTTTTTTATGCATTATATGGCACTGAATTCTCTCTTTTTCTTTTAAATGATTTTAATAAGATTAAAATAGTTAGTTGGAAAACAATATTTTGATTTATTTATCTTTTAGTTCCAAAGCATGTCTCTTATAAAGCATCAGAGACACTAAAATCATGTGGATATATAGGGGAACATTGTTCCATGATCGTAAAATATTGTCATGTTAATTACAAGAGTAGAAATAATGGTGATTAAAGAAAATTACTTGCCAAAAAATAGACTTATTACAGAAGCTATTACAAATATCACTCGTAGTTGATTAACACACTAATTGTGATAAAATTAATATTATCCACTTTTTTCCTTTCTCAAATTACATTTACATATCATCATAGTATGTAATTGCATCAAACAAGTACTCAGCGTTACAAGTTTTTAATCCTTTATTAAATTGATGACATTATTACTCTTCAAAAATAATATATTAAAGAGGGGATAAAAGCAACCCCAAATATTGAAAAGCCATATAGAATCTATATGTTACAAAAAGTATACGTAGAATATTTACTTTATCCCACTTTTGATACTTGAAATTTTCTTTTTTTCCATCAATACAATTTGTACGTTAATGCAAAACGAAACATGAGGGGATCCAGTCTAGTGAATAGTGATCAATGAAGTGGATGAATAATCACGTGTGATTTTTTCATCTCCAAATTATCTTTGTGGGTGAAATCACCTGTAAAATTAATCCAGATGCGCATAAACTGACCTTAACACCATGTTATCATAAAATCAATAAATTCCGCTAGAACTTTGCAATTTTTCTCAATTTATACAACCCTCATAGATCAAACTATTACATACTATATATAATTGTTAAGAAAAGAGGGGGTGGGGGTAAGGAGTAGAGAGTGAGAGAGCACCAAATTGTTAATTAAACATCAACATGACAATTTTGTACCAATTGATATTTCATAGCTGAACCAACAGCAATACTATTTCCAATCATTTTACCACCAACATAAGCTGGACAATTCACATTCAAATGATACTTCCCTGAGACAAATGTTCCAACTTTCCATCTAACTCTTCCATCAACTTTAACATTAATCAACACAGTTCCAGCCATTTGATCTTCCCTAAGACTCTCACTAAGGTACGGTGCGACGGGGACGGAGTTACCATACACAAAAGGTGACCATATTGTGAAATCTTTATGGCCTTGATATGTTTGTGGTACAAGTGTAGGGAGAGTAATTTGTTGGCCACGGTAAGTTGCATAGACATCAAGTCTGTCATAGTAAATTCCTATTTTGTCATTAGGGTTACGAGAGGCTAAGGTTATTTGGAAGTTGGTGGTGAGGAGATTAGGTGAGGAAATGTTGAAGGAATAGATGGTAGCATCTTGGAGGATGAAATGTGGTTTTGTTGGCCTAAGGATTAGGAAGATGAGAAGGATGATGAAGAGGATTAGGATTATGAAGCCAACTAAGGCGGTGAATAGGCGGCGGTGTAGCTTGTGACGTTCCTCATCGTGGTGGCCACAGTCTTTAGCCGACATGATGATGGTGGTGGTGGTGGTGATGATTAGTTCTTTGGGAGATATGTATGTTTGGTAAATATGGCTTCGATTCTATAATGTGGTGAAATGAGAGACTTTATTGCTTGTATGAAAAGAGAGTGGTCTTTTTGTATAGGAAATGTTGGGGAGAATTTCTTTTCATTTTTCTATTTTTGTTGGTGTGGAGAGACTATTAAGTAGGATGTATGAAAAATATATTCCCTTTGATTTTGACACGAACTTTCGTAGTAGGTTAAAACCCTGACCCATGTGGTCTTTGATTAAAACAATACTAGTAGGTTAAGAAACTTCATCTTACAGTTTTACATTTTTATTTTTTTTTGTATAATGTGGTGAGAGAGACTTTTGGTCGATTTAAACATTTGATACTAAAAATGTAGTTATTCGACTAAATCAGATTCACATGGAATAAATCAAATAAAGAGCTAAAGTGCTTCTCATGAAAGGACCCAACTTACAAGTTTCAAGCCCGAGAATTATAGTTATGGATGAATAGATTCCGATTATCACCTTATCAATCACGGTTTTATATTTTCAAATTTGTTGTTTTAAACATTGAGATTTTAAATGACTATTTGACTCAACGACGGAGCAAAGATCAGGAGTTTGGGAGTTCTGAATTCTTTTTTTTTTTAAAAAAGAAAGCAACTTTTTGTTGAAAGTGGGGTTATGGAAAGCACTTCCATAACCCTTTTTTTACCACTGAGCTATCAATCTGGGGTTCACGAGTTAATATACATATATATTTATCTAATTTTTCTAGCACAAATACAAAATCTATGAAAATCTACTAGGTTCATCTGAATACAGGAACCCCAACCTAACTCCGGCCGAGACTATTGTAAAGGTGTCCAAAATCTCATTTCCAAGAGCATGTATAGGAAATGTTCCAACGACAAATACATCCAAATTACATGCAGAAACAAGTTGGCAATTTTAGAGGAAAAGTGAAGTTTGGTGATGGTGATGATATTGTGTGCTAGTTGCAAGCAACCTTATCTTTTAGGGACGTATGCTTCTACGCAAAGGCTAATAAAAAAGGTAAATAAAGATTCAAGAATTATTCCAAATGGCCCTACTTCTATAGTCTTGACAAACTAGGATTGCATTATTCTCAAGATACCAACCATGTTGCCTCTTAAGCAGTAAAACTTCAAGTTCAATTACTACAAAAGTATTTTATGAGAAAGTTAATTAATTACTGATAATCTACGCTATAACCGATATGGTAAAGGTAACATTTTAAATCATTTAGTATCTTTGAAGAAAGAGAACTACAACAAGAATAACAGGAGTTATTCATTTGGCTTTACCCTACTTGTCTGTAGATCAGCTAGTCCGCGCTCTAGTTTTTCATTGATCTTTTCTACCCCTAGCTCTATGAGGAATTGAGGGGAGTCAATTCTGAGATTAACAAAGTTGAAACGTACAATTGAATTTTATTCAACATAAAACAACAAACAGGATCAGTAACAGCTAATGAAGGAGGATCCTGTTGTGTTTCCAGTCATTGATAACAAATTCAAGACCAAGTAGAGCAAAAACAATTCCATACAAATAAACTGAAAGTAAAGATATATACTAAGTTGGAACTGTAGTAAGCTTTTACAGTCCAAGAAACAGTTTATACAAGACATTCTAAAGAAAAAAGAAAGTTATGCCTTGTAGCACCAGAACCAAAAGATACCTCGTAAATCACCTGGTGGGGAGTAAAAAAAATGCACAAAGGATAACAACTCCCGGAGATCCCATTTCCCACGCATAGCTGGAAATAGGAATTGTTGGCTTCAACGAGGTAGGATATGGAAGAGCTTACTCTTACACACTTACAGTGTAATAGAACTTTCATACTATCAGATCACTGGTCACTTCAAAGATAACTACAAGTAACAGTCCATAACAAGTGGGATTTGTAACCTGGAAAATAAGACAGGTCATCCTACAACAAGTGAAAATACACGAATAGTGTAATAGTCTTTTACACTGTTGGAATATATAAGTTAAATCCAATACAAGAAGGCATGTATTTGCTGCAGGTGAGTTGATATATTCAACTATGCTAGAGTTATTTGCACAAAATAACTATTTCTTCTGTAACTACATTGGAATTAAAGGGTAGATGCAAATCTTTAGGAAAGAGAATGTCTCCTTTCATGTTATTCTTCCTTTGGATAATTCAATGAGCATGTTCATTTGTTGCCAAGACATGACATTTGTATCACAATATAAAGTTAAAACCAAGACGCGACATGGTTCCAGTAAACTGGAAAATATAACCGTACCTTACACTTGAATAGTACACAACTGGAAAAGGTAGAATACGCAAATAACATATATCTTATCATCCCTGGCAGATAAGAGCAGAGAAGGAGGTAGGACACAAAAAAAGGTTCATTTGCTGGCAACTTTCATCAAGACAGCAGATTGGTCCTTCAAGAGGTGAAGGACTTGCACCTCCTGTGTGACTTAACTTCATCTTCTATCAAAGACACTAACGAATGGCACATCTGTACATAAATATTTATACTGAAGATTGTTCCTCAATAACTAAATATCAGCATGTACTTTAATTTCCTTTTAGAAGTCCCAGTACAGAAACCAGGTAATAGCCTAATAGAATAATTTATAACCATTCACACAAAACATATGTCAGCGGCAGGAGCGTTACATCTGAGTGAGAGGTAAGACCATTTCTGTTCATCCTAGTCTAATCCGAACAGATATATCGAAACCAATAACTTCAATTTTTGAGAAGTAGGCAATGAACCAGGGGTAAGGCCATAAAGTACCCCAAAGTAGAGGTGGTAAATCTGAACAAATCTTTAAGAAGATTCATACCATAAGAATCAAACCTCGAGTTCAGCAGCAGCGAGTGCATAATCCTATAGTGTTCCTGAACAGTAGCACAATTCTGGCAAAGGTGCTCTAAGCACATGCTTACACGTCTCCCCCGCCCCCTCTCCCAAACCACTACCACACACACACAGCAAGACAGCCATCTCCTCTAGGATGAAAAATTCTCAGAGTTCAGAGAGTTTCTACAAGTCAAAGCCTACTATAACAATCAAGGCTTCTGTTAATCAGGACAAGTCCAAGTCTCAAAATCTCCATGAGCCAGATTTCAGAGTTGAAGACAAACAAGAGTGTCTAAAAGATTCTTTTTATGCTGTTTAACTATATCAAAGTGCCTATCACATGAAATAACATGAACTACGAGGCTATTTAAAATGATTCACAGTGATAGTCCTTTACAACTCCTTTTTACCAGTGCTTCCATTCATATTTTCCCACAACCACAACATCTACTCTTTAATCAGCCAAAACAATGTCCCACAACCAAATTGGCTCTGCATCATGAAGGTCACGATCTTGATACTTTAAGCTTGTATCAATGAATAGAAATGATAGTAGAAGCCTAAAAGTCCATATAGACATTACCTTGAACTGCTTCACGTCACTTCAAAAGTTAAAGACGTCAAGAACTTATAACTTGTACGACAGGATCGAGCTTTTATTTGATGAGGTCAAAGGAAATTGTATTAACCTTGTAATGCTTAAAAGCAATGCTTGTGGGAAAAGAAGATATCATATGGAAGGAACCTAGTGAAGCACTAGGAATCACCAGAAAATTATTTTCATAACAACAGAAGCCTAATATTTGCAAGTTTTGAATCGCCAATAAAATGGAATCCTAAATGACATGAAGGGGCTTCTACAGGCACATAGAATTAACCTTCTATTCCTAAACATATCAAACTTACAGCCCTTTTCACTTGGCTTAGCGATAATGTAAATCATAAGAAGCAAATAACCAGTTAAAACAACCAAGAATAATGTAGAAATACAACACAATCTATCTCCACATCTTAAATGTAGCCTCAGAAATAACAACAGGAACAACCTAAAGATGTGCATACACCAATGTGAAAAATGAACAATCAAGATCAGCTTTTTCGTGTTTTTTTATATCAGATCTACATAACGCAATTCAATTAGCATTATCCTTGCTACATTGCTTATACAATTAAACTAAGAAGTATATAACAGAATAGAATTAGAGAATCTAATGGGTCACCAAAATTCACCTCAGTTAGAATGCGACCATCACAGCCCAACTCGACACTGCCTTTGTCCTCCAAGCAAGTTCCCAGAAGACTTGTTTAACGCAACTCCAACTGACAAATCCCCACAGTAAACTCTCAAATATCTCCTCCTTGCTCTCCAAGCTCCAGCTTTAAAACTAACCCTAGCTACCATCCTCACATTGAATCTAACACTTGCCTTTTCAGCCCTCTCTTTAGCCATACCCTCAAAAGCCCATTTCTCCACATACGCCCCAGAGGCAACAAAGCTAACCTCCTGGGTAGTCTCGTTTACCCTATCCATAAAGAAAGGTGGAACCGTAGTATCAGCAATTGAGAGTGAATCATAGAAAATCGCAGCAGCAATTTCGTCGTAGTACAGAGTAAGCTTCTTGTTTGGATTCCTGGCAGTAAATCTGAGATCCCAGTTAGCAGTTATGAGGGAATTCGACAGATTTAGGTTGGATACATTGAGCGAGTCGACTTGGAACTCAGGGATGCGAGGAAGAATAACAATCCAGATGACAAAGAGAATTGTTCCGGTGATGATCGTAGAAGCAACAAGTATAGCTATCACTCGTCGAAGAAAGGTATTACGCTGGGCCGCGTAAGGGTCTGGGTAGGGGTAGTTGTTGTAATACGGTGGTGCAGCGTAAGGGTAGGCGGTGGCCGGAGGTTGAGGTCGAGCGGAGGGGTAGCCATTGTGGTTAGGAGGAGGAGCGGCAGCGGCGGGGTAACCGGTGACGGGTCGATTCGGGTCAGCCATGTCAGAGGATATGGAGCATCTGCAGTAGTGGGAGAGTGGAGTGGAAAGCGAAGGAAAAGTCGGTGACGAATCTATGAGACGACGAAAGGAGAAAAGGACTTTGTGGTCATTGTTAATTCAACAGCTAGAAAGGAGTGTAGGATAGAGTAACATTTAATAATTTTGTATTATCATGTAATCTACGTGCCTAGTATTAAATTCTACGCAAATGGCACTCTCCTAGTAAATCATGTTATATTTTTTTTAAAGTTGAATTAAATAATATTTATTTGATATTTTAAATAAAAAAATTAGATATTCAAAAATTATATGAAAAATATATACATTGTAATTTTTTATATATCAATATAATAAAAATACATCTTAAAATATTAACTAAAGTTCTTAGAGTTTGACTCTAAAA